CAGCCAAGACATTTCCTCAAATGACTCACTCCTGGAAAATGTCATTTTTCTGTTGAACTCACAGGAGCCCAACTTTCTGGGAAATTTGTAGTATATATTGCTTCATGGCTGCAAAAGCACTCGTCTAGTAAGAAGTCTACCTTTCCCTGATGGCTTTTCAGTTTATCAGTTATGAGAAGAGAAGCATACCATTTTTGGAACAGATCCATACTTACAACGAGTTTTTTAACAGCAAAATGGAGCCAAGTGTAGAGAATGAGAACTTTGTGGTTTAGTGACCACCTTTTCACAGTGCCTCAGCCCAGCAATAAACCAGAAAGTACTGAGTTTTTATAAAGAGTTCTGTCACTGTTTGAAGAACATGAAACTCTTCTCTGTGCAGATATTAAAACATAAGACTGCTATGAAGCCATGCCAGTAAAATCAGCTTTAAAAGATAAAGGGCACAACACTAAGTCAGCAAGTTACATTTCTATTAAAATGAAGTAAATAGGCTACATTAAATTTTTTAAATTCCAGTATTGTTTTTCCCTAGAACAATAGTGGAGACCTAAAAAAGAAAAGAAACATTTATAAAATGGTAACTTCAACTTTGTTTTACTTTGATACAGTTTAGGGACAAATCTGTATCATCAGAAATAAATCTGAAGAGACCAGATGATATAAGAAACTTTGTTTCATTCATGGAAATCTGCCCTTTGGTTTTAGAAGGCCGGGAAGCCTAGAAGTGCATCTTTGCAGTCTAAACAGAAAATGAGACTTCAAAATCAGTGACTTCTCTTTATCCCTTTGGCTGACAGGGAGCAATGAATAAATGAATATAAACATCAAATAACCCAGAATGAAGATTCAAGCAGGTCTGATTATTGCCAGACCTTCACAATCACTAAGCTGGCAGAAATTGGCATTGCTTCTGTAAAAAGAAGCTGTTCTCTCCTCTGCACACTGAGATCATGTCCCATGCAATCCCAATGATTTTGACCCCGAACCGTTCCTGGATACTTGCCACCCAACACAAATACCTACAGAGCTGTGGAGCCAGAAACACAAAGCCAGAGAAGAAAAGGGAAGAGTACAATGGATTCTTGCAACAGCAACAGAGCTTAAAAGTGATGGGAAAATTACTTGGTTCCACTGTCTCCTGCAGTATCTACAGTGCTCTCTTGGGTGTCTAGACCCAAGGGAGGGAAATGTCATGAAAGGTGTCTTGGAGACTGCATTCTCCAGAGCAACTTCTACAAGGCTTTATGGTGGAAGGATGCTGAAGAGGTGGATCCCCTCTGACAATATATAACTGTAGTCTTTTCTTCATAGAAAGGACAGTTACCTAATTTTTCATTTCCTACTGGAACCCCTGAAATAATGATTCCTTATTCTTGACTTGGTATGAAAAAGGTAAGACGAACTGTCATTTCCGCATTTTTTTTTAAATATTTATGTCAAATATGACGGACTGTTACTGATTTTGTAACTGTTATACGTAAAAGCTATGATTTTCGCCTTGTAAGCATTAAGAACATTTTTTCTTGGCAGGAAAACCATGTAGCTACAGACATGACATTTAAGAACATACTCGCCTTTCGCCTTTGTAATCTGTCACAGACTTTTGTAAAATAATAATAATAAAAAAAGAAATGATAGCCGGATGGAGTTTGGTATTTATTTTTCAGAGACTACATATGGAGCAAAATGGAAAATACATTGCTAAATGAGTATAGATTGCTAAATTTTATGATTAACATACTGAAATAAAGTGTATTTATCTGAACAGAATCCAAATCTTTATACACATTTATACAAAATGATTGAATATCTCAGCTTGGGACTTCCCACATATTTAATTATGACAGCTTGATGTTCATGATCACTTTTGCAAGAATTTAGGCAGAATTACCCCCAAACTGGTTAAAAGGATTAACATAGTGAAGGTTCAATCTACGTAATATTTTTGAGCCATGCTGTAAAAGTTAATGAATGAAAGGAGCTACCCATTTAATCCAGTTATAGTCAGTGTGACTTACTTCAAAACCTTTTAGGTTGATTTTCCTTACACTTCAAAATAAATTTTGAATTGTCAAAACTGCACCCAAGACATTTTTTTAAAGTACTACTAACAAGACCCTTGGACTGCAGTCTAGCTTGGAATATAGTTTTCATTGAACACAGCCTTTGAATATATCTAAACAAGTTTTTGTGAAAGAGGTGCAGTAGGTGGGAAAACTTGTATTGCCTTAACATTTGATTTTTCTATATCTCTAGTCATCCAACTATTCAAGCATGCAGCTAAGAGAACAACATTTTTTCAATATATCTCTTGTCATCTTTGTATCTTCCAGTCATACTGTCATCCTTTGAAACTTACCCCAGAGTTGCAACAATTTACTGTAACTAGCTCCACACCCTTCTTTTTCAAATTAATATATTCAAATTAATACATTCTCCCTTTTGTGGAAAAATTAAGTATTGGGCTGGGTAACAACATATACAAGGTGCAACACATACATAAACTAAATCATACTGCCAACACCTTATATAGAAATGTCTGAAATGGTGCCCAGGAAGCAAGAGTTCCCCAAACCACCCCCATTGCTGTCTGACAATTGTACATTTTAGTAAACACAAAAATGATTCTGGAAATGTAAAAGAGCTTAAAAAAAATAAGTCCATAGATATTTTTTTGTTTTTTTTTACTTGGGAAGATCCATGTATCCTAGGGTGAAATATAAAGATTAATCCAATTTAAGAGTAGGCAAGGTTGAACCACCCCATATTTAAGAATTGAAACCACTTAGAAACTTGGGAGAATCCTAGATTTCGGTGCTCAAAAAAAAGAAAAGAGTATCAGTGATTAACTGCCATCTAGGTTACCTTGAAAACCACAAATACATTTTCAAGATAGAAGTTCCAGAATTCTGCTGCTGTGGCACATTTGTTTTTTAGTTTCAACAGTATCCATCAGCCCTGCAAGACAGGTGACATCGGTATTAGTCAGCCCATGCCACCTGCAGTAGCTGCAGCAGCCTTAACAGACTGCTGAACAAACCAGGGCAGGTGGAGGGGTAAATGATACACTTTTATTTCACAGTTCAGTGTTTAGAGCACTAAGACTGGGATTCATTCACTTGCTCTGTGGGACAAAAATTCAAAATTGCAAATCCTTCCTCCCAGTAAAATGCCCAACTCATCCCTATTAGGTGCTTTATGTTTGGGAGACAAGTGATCCTTTTTCCTTCCTGGTCAAACTGCTCCATTTACCAATTAGCTTATACCAGTTGAAGGGAATGGATATTTAGAGCACTTCCCTGTAGGTGAAAGAGACTGTTTTGGATCATCTCGGGGGGGGAAGAATTGGATACTGTCCTAGTCAGTATTGTCACACTTTTTTTTTGTGGATGTAGTAATAAGCAATTTGAGAAGAGCTTAACAGAAATCAGCAATAAATCCAGAATGGCATATACTGCCTTCCAAATATTAATGTATTTTCCCACATTTTAAAAGTGGAAATAAAGAAAGAACCCCTTAAAGAATTATTTACCTACTTGATTTCAATAAAATACTGTCACTTCTCATTATGTATGCCAAGGAAAAAAACCAAACAAAAACAAACCACACAACGAAATACCAAGTCGACTGTCCACCTCAGTGTTCTTCAAATTTTTTCTTCTTGTGGCTTTTATCCCCATCTCCAATTTTTCACATCAGTTTTAAACAATGTGATTTTTTTAAAAATATGGTGTCAAATTTAATAAAAATTTAGCTGCCTGCAAATATAGAGGATGTACTGAGAATCTTCCTGACCAAGCACTGAGGCCCAGGATGTTTCAAGGCTCATATTTTCAAAACCTCCTGTACCTTTTTTTTGTGTGTACATTTATTATATCCCCAAGCCAGTGGCACGTTGACAGAGAAACACTGATCCAGCCTAATCTAACTCTGGAAATAGTTTTCACTGAATTAAGGAGCAGGGGTGGGGGGGAAAAAAAAAAAAAAAAGGAAATCACTGAAAGCGCACACAGATTTCAAGAAGAATTGTAAATATTTATGATTCAGATATACAAATCCTGATGGTAAAGAAAGAATCAACAACTGTTTCTCATGCTGGCAATATACATTTATTGTCATTCTGGAGATAGGTTACCATGTGTATATCAGGACTTCAGACTAAAAATAAATTGGAATTACGCCGGTTGGAAATGAAAGGACTGAATCTAAAGCTGACCTTTAGAAGGTCTTCAGTTCGTCTATTTTTTTGTGGGTGGGTGTGTCCTTTTTAAAAAAAATTAAAAGCTGAACATCTTCCCCTTCCCCTTCATTTTAACCTCACAAAAATAAATGATCATCCAAATGCAGCTTTTTCTAGTTTTACTAATAATCTGCTGGCAATCTCAAAACATCTATATTGTTGATTCTACAACTTCAGAAGGAATCTAACCTTTACAAACCATGTTCTTCCTCCACTCTACCTGGCTACTGAGTCCAACTTTAAGGACTAGACTTAATCAGATTAAAGATTTGTTTATATTAGACTACTGTGGTTACATTATTATGGTGCAAACCTTCAACATACATGCTTTGCTGTTCCAGAACAAGCTGTATCAGTGCAAGATCTGACACTCTGTGCAAAAGAAGCCACAGTGCTATAAATTCTTGAAATACCTTTCTTCTCCCTCTCATGTATTGACTAACATCTTCCTCCCACTGATTTCACCAAATACTGTCCCCAAAAAAGAGAAAGATGAAGATATTTCATGCTTTTGTACAACAAACAAACTCCCCACTCCAAAAAAATAAAATCTTCCTACTCTGTCTGATCCCCCATCCAAAAACACCCAGGTCAAAGCTCAATGTTCCTCACCCTCCCAACCCTCTTCCAGCTTTTACGTATCACCATAAAAACAAATGCATACAACTTACTGTACAAATATGAAACTGCAGGCATTCAAGTTACAGAACATTCTGAAAATATTTCAAGCATAAAAAGTACACTTGATAATTGCAAAAATAAAGTTTCACTTTTTTAAAAAACATTTTGATTAGAGCTCAAGCAAAACAAACACTTAACAATTCCTACTTCAGTTTAACTTCATAAGAACACCACCTTCAGAAGTTAAAAACAGAAAACTCATATTTTTGGTGATAAAGTATCTGACTATGTCTTTTAATGAAGAGAAATGGTATATACAACAATGGCACAGACCTTAAGCATCAACAACATATTTCAGCCAAAAGTAAGTCTACAAGTGATCTGAGTCATTCTTAGCATCAAATGGTACTGATTACTAAGAACCATAATCTGCTAGGAACAGACATTAAGTTAGACTGGTACGAATGGAAGGAAAGATCCATGACATCAAATAGGCTCAGTTTTTGTCACTGAACTTGTTTTAGGCTAACAATTTCCCTAGTGCAAGACCATGTTTACCTGATTAAATGAAAACTCATAAATGTCACAATTTAAGAACACTTATACAAAACTATTTTTTTCTTTTAAAAAAGTGCCACATACCATACTTTTACTAAAAAAGTTACAAACTAATGGAAGACTGTCTGCCTCCATCTCTTGTCAACAAGGAAAGGCCAAAGTGATTCTTTGATCCCAGCTCGAAAAGGCGTTCTTTGACCTATCCCCAGCATCTCCAACTTGGAGCAGTCTAGCTGAGCATTCCTCGGACGAAGAGCACCCACAACTGGACAATCGGTGATCTAAAAAATAAACAGAGAAAAAACCCAACACACCAACAAATAATCAGAAATTACAGAATCATATTTATTTTTACATATGCTCATGAAGTCTTCCTTCATAGGTTTCTATATAGGTATGTTTCCTTCTTCCCTTCCAGCTATTTTGTGTGTGGAATTTTTTTTGTTTGTTTGTTTGGGGTTGTTTGCTTGTTTTATGTTAGTTTCATTTCAGCGTAAGAGATGTCAGGCAGAGCAACGTGAAGTATCTTAAGTTAAATTCTTCTCACTCAATTACTGCTCATCATTTATGCTTTTCTATGCTTTATTCCTACTTTCACTCTATGACTATAATCACAAGGTAAGAAGTGCTCTAAAATGCTGACAGAACCATGCCTTGATCAATATACTTGAAGAGAAATACATTTAGGCAGAAAAAGTTCGGACTAACTTAGTGTTCTTCATTCTTTTTCTCTCCATCTTCCAAGCCATATTTCAGTTCCATCCTTTACTAACTCAGAATCCTTGGCATTTATTTTAAAATAAATAAAATCTTATTTACATATATTCTCATAACATTACAATATGTCTTTAATAGTAGTCTTAAGTGTCCATAAACCGTCAGAAGTGTTTTAAGCAAATCAAATATGATTTGAAGTGCATGCATTCAGAAATAAATCTGGACACTGAAAAGTTCTTACAGATTTCTACTTTCAAGTTAATATTCTGTCAATCTGTAAGCTTTTTTAAAGACAAAAATACAATTAAAAAAATGGATTCACTTGTGACTAAGGAGAACTCTTCTGCAGAAATACCATTTTGCTACAGACTGTGAAACTGGTTACTGACTGACTGGGTAGTTTTCATAATTCAGCAGGTCAAAGCAGCTGTTGTTTTCCTGAATTAAGACACCAGGCAGCACCCTCAGCAATACATCTGCTGTGCCAGACATACTCACAGAGATCGTCCTGAAGAGGAAGATTATTTAGCTAGCGTGAGACTACTACCTGAAATGATAAAGCACATGCATCCTTCTGCAGGTAGAACAACACATCACTTACTGGTCTCAAGTGGCTGCTGGGAAGGTTGAAAGCATCTGCAATCGCACACGCCATTTCGTACTTAGTCATCTGTTCATTGCCAGACCAGTGAAATGTTCCTTTTACTGATGGGTCCTACAGAACAAACAGGAAACACAAGTTAATAAAAAGCAGCTAGCTAGCCCTCGGCCTAATTCCTCAACCACAATTCCTAAGAATTGTGCAGACTAATCTTCCAGCAAGATCCTATCCTGAAAGGCATCTCACTGATGTTCTAGAAACGTCTCACGCATTTTCAGGGAACACCTGCAAGGGATTGAGACTGAAAACTGGTGTTACATATATCTGACTGACTTGCCACAAACAGCTTCTCTTCTGTAGAATTAACCAGAGGGAAAGGAGTGAGCCAACCAACTAAAGTTAAATCACTGGGGAGGAGGAACTCAGCTATTTTATAGCATTCACTTACTCAAAAACAAATGCAAGAGGCACCACACATATCCCGTTCTGAAAGTTAAACTGCAATTCACGTACAAGTCCGATCAAACAAATTGATTGCACCACGCCCACCATATGTGCATGGTCCATTTTTTTTCCAGATTATATGTATGAAAAATAAAAGTTGTTCCTTGGTTTTGTCACATTGCTAAAGTGGTAATCTGAAGATGCTGTGGTGAATAAACACACTACAGTATTTAAGTCCAGTGGCTTGGTTTTGCCACCTCAGCGTTCTTAATACAATAAACAAGGGCATCTTTGAGAATTTACATCCAACCACCATGAGGTTTTATTAGCCCAAAATGGCAATCTCTAGAAGGTATATAAGAGTAAGTGAGGTTATTTGCATTTCTCTCCTGTATACTAGAAGACACATGACAATTTTCAGAAGGATCTGCCCCATCATTTCACTCACTTTTGTTTCAAATGTCAGAATATCTACTCACTGTCATGTAAAGATGCTGCAGTATTACAGCTAGTTCTTTCTTCCTCCCAGTGTCCCGGAAATGCAAAGAATAATGCAGGCTGTGTGCAGCTTGCATTTGTTCAGAAACAAAGCCAAGAATTGAACTGTTTTTACCCTGAAGAGGCTTGTTTCTTTAAATTCTTACCAGCATTCTCTTTTCAGCCAGTTGTCTGCAAACAGTTGCTACATCCTTGACATTAGTAGGAAATCTTTGTTGCCAGTGATCCATGTTGGCAGATTTATTACTGAACTGCACTTTATCAAACATAACAGTCACAGCACTCTCCTCCAGTCTTTCTACCTCTCCATACAAGACAGGAATCCTAAGTACCGCAGCACCTAAAAGAAAGAATATTTTACAAGTATTAACATTGTTATGAATAGCTATGAATGCTGCAGAATAACCTGAGAAGTGTTTTGGAAGTATCAAGAAATAAGTTAGTGATATTAAGCATCTACAAAACACAAAGAAAACACAATTAATATGTTTATCCTCATAATGTAATTTTAATTTATATCAATTAAAGCAGTTTATAAACACTATTACATAAACTTATTTTCACTTATTCCATTGGTTTCCATAAAATATAACAAGTTTTCATTAACACCATAAGAGAAAACAGAAGGCTTGTTTGGGTTAGAGCAAAAATTTTAAAAATAAAAAAAGCAACTGGACTATGCAGTTACTCCAGCACTCCCCATCCTCCCTGGGTAAGATCAAGAACAAAGATTCCCACCAAACACAAACCACCGTATTTGGCTGCAATTACAGACAAAGATTTTTTTGTGCAGCATGCAGAAGCCTCCTGCATATTTACCAGAAAAAAAAGACATCAACCTTGGAATGAATAAAAAGCTTCACAAATAAGGAATAAGGTCACAGCACACAGTAGTAAACAGTATTGGGTTTCAAGATAGTGATTTGAGAAATTAACAGTAAATAAGTGTAAATAGAAGGCCGTTTTATGGTAGAATACATCATACTAGTCTATCTTGGTCATGAAGCCTTAAAAGGCCTGTTTGAGGGGAAATCCAAGAAGGCTATGACAAATTCATTAAAAGTAAAAGTAATACATAGGTATTAGATAATAATAGTTATAAATAAAAAAGCTATTTGAAAGAAGAAAAAAAAAATCAGTCTTGAAAATGAAGTAGAAGTCACCAAATCATTGCTATTCTTAAAAATTTGTAGGAAAATGCTAACAGCTATTAGAAAAACAAAACCAAAAAGCTAACAAATTATTCTCACAGAAAAGTAAACCAAAAGAAGTATTTACACAAGGAAAACAAATACAGTAAAAAGCCCAACATGACACTGATTTCCTGCTGCTCTAAAACCAGTTATTTGGTCACTCAGCAAATATGCTCTTCCTCTCTTCAAATACTGGTTGAATACCTCTCAATATCTTTAGAAATATTGAGAAAAAGACTGCTTTCCTTTTGTTCTCAGAGAGCTGAGACTTGGAGAGCGTTAATTTCATTACCAAAACATTTTAATTTTATAAGCATGAATACTAAATATAACTTGTATCCCCTCCTAACCAAAGTAAAATGTATTTTCAAAAATTACACACACACACACACAAAAAAAAAACTATTAGTGAAGATTCTTGCATTATACAAAGCAATAGATAGGGAAGTTCTTCACACAACTACAGACTGGATAGACTGAATTCTACCTATACAATATTAGCAAATTAGTGGTTGGAAGACTAATACATCTAAAATATTTCTATTTGTATGAAACAGTATCATTATCAAGAATCTTACTCAGCACCACCTCGAAATTCCTTCTGCTAATTCCACTGCTGCAACCCACTACTGCCTGACAGATCGGGCTCAGAAAGGTTATGAAACAAAACTGAAGTGCTGACTTGAAGGAAGGATCTAATGAGATACCCATGTACTTGAATTTGATGCAGTCTTATCTTCAATACCAATCTAGAAGAAGGAGCAAGTTGCATTACAGTCAAATTCAGAGATGATATTTTAAGAGGTGGAGTGAATAACTTTTTATTTAAATTAATTTTTAATTAAATAGGAATTTTCCTATCAAAGTATTTTTTAGAGGCCTATCATTTTCCAATATAGTACATATTTACTTACTGTAAGACCATCATACTAACGTATCAACTGTTCAATTCTCTAGTTAGGCAGAACAGAATCACCGCGTATCAGACTGACTTATCAGAAGCTTCTTCTGCAAGTACATTGAGATTATTTTCTTAAAATTCTTTTTGAAAACAGAAGTGATACTTTCCTTACAGTATGTGAATGCAAACTGAGAGCATGCTAACTAGAAACAACCAAATATCTCTTTTATACAAGAAATAAGTTTTAAATTCAAAGGAACATGTTCAGTCCCAAGTTTTTTTCCCTTATCAAGTAGAATTTTTAAAATTATGTTTGTATATTTTGAATGTAAATTTTCATTAAGAAAATATGTAAACAATAAATAAAAAAACCCTAGTTGCTTAAAACCAGATATATGTTACTAACCCTATAGAAAGTGATACAGGCAGGAATCTGATGTGTGGGGCAAGCTAGGTGGGTGAAAATAAAATGGATGGCCTGATGGCTTATGTAATGAGAGCAAAACAGGAGATCAGCAAAGAAACCAAGAGTAACAACAAAAGCCCACGTTGATTTTATCTGCACTATTACTGAGTCATGAGTCTGGTTTTCTCTTTAAGTAAACATACATTCAGAACAATTGCAATACATCCCCCTAAATAACAGCAGCTATATATTAACGTGGTAAAGCTTGTATCATTCCAATATATTGACGTATTTTATCTTTCCTTAGGAAGACCTGATTCACAGTAGACAAAGGCTTGTGAATGTCTATCAGAAGATTCTAGTAACACAAATTAAGATCAAACCAAGTGAGAAATAAAGCTTTAGTCAAGCTATATGCAATAGGAATCATTTAAGAGGAAGGAGAATGACTCCTAAGCACATTCTTTTCTAAAATCTCATTTCCATGGTTTTGCAACTTTACCACTGACTTATGACTCTATTATGCTAATATACAAGTAAAAACTCTATTAAAAATATGTGACTGTATCCTTACCTTCATTATTTTCCAGGACTGCCTTTTCACCCTCTAGTTTGGTTTTACCATATAAATTCAGGGGATTTGGTACATCAGTCTCTTTATAAGGAGGGCTTGTTCCATCAAACACATAGTCTGTACTAATGTAGATCAGGAATGCTCCAACTCCAGCTAGGAAGAAAATGTGTATACATAGTCTATTTTAATTCATGCCTTGTTTGAAATTCCAATAAACCTTTAAACAAATCTGCAAAGACCCTCATCTCCTAGCCCCACTCATTCCCACTGCTCTGTCCGTTCACTGATCCTTCACGCAGACATGCCTGCTGCCCTGACACAGAATGGATGGATGTCACACCAATCACCAAAATCACTTTCAGCACGTTGAGTAACTTACTCATATTTACATCCATGTATAAATAAATGCAGTATTTTAACAACAAACCAAATCCATTTCCATTAGATGGTCTCCTTACCTGCCTCTTTTGCTAAATTCCCTGAAGCAGCCACATTGAGCTGAGAAGCAGCGTCTGGTTGACTTTCTACAACATCTGGCCTTCTCTCAGCAGCACAATGCACTATAACATGAGGCTGGAAATTAAAGACTAATTTTAAACAAACGTTGTCAAAACACTGCAGTTGCACCCTAACTCTAGCAATGAACTCCCACCAGCAAAAAGGCATTTCACTAAGTTATATGAAGTAATAGAAGTAGTAGTACTACTTTTAATCATGGCATTCTGAAGAACACGTTTTCCTTAGGAAATAAAGTAGAACCATGCTGCTTCAAGATACCAGAAAAATTGATCATTAGCTTTGTAATTATGATCTTCAGTAGTTTTGATTTTACAGCAAGATTAAAGCTGTAGGTTTGTGGGGGTTTTAACTCTATATAATAGGATAAAATATATCTCACAAAATAATACTCAAAAAAATTCACTGAACTGTTTTTAGATAAGCCATTTACACATGACTTATTTGAATATGCAGACTACTAACAAGTTATTTAAAGCCATTTTACAGAATGGCACCCTGTGTAATGGGTTTTATACACTCCCCTTGCAAATTAGATTGAAAACCAGTGAACTTCTTACTGTACCACACACTAGACCAGTTACTGCTGTTGTATTCAAGCATTCAACTTCAAAAGAACTGCCTTACGCTACTATGTCAGTAACTCACATCTTTTCCTTTCAACTGTCAGTGCAGGTGTGCTGACATCTGGAACCTGCAGTCCAGCTATGGTGATGATGGCAAAGGTCAGAACTATCTGTATCTACACAGCCAATCTATACTCCAGATGTGGCAGAAAAAGCAGCCATAGATTTTTCAGAGCTCTGCCAAAGCATTAGCTCCACTAAAGCCACGTGAACTCAGCACCAGAACAGCACTATCAACTCATTACTAGTTGTATAAAGTACGCTGTCCATCCACTTCATAAACTTACCTGAAACTCATGGATAATGTCATGAACTGCAATAGAGTCCAGAAGATTAATCTGTTCAAATCTGGGCTGAGCTCTTCTATATCCACAGCCAACTGCATTCCAATTATTTTCATTGAATTCTTTAAACACAGCTCTGCCAAGAAGTCCTGTAGCGCCAGTAATCAAAACTCGCCTACTGGGAATATCAACATCCTCCTAGGGAAATGAGAACACAAAAAGTTTTCTTTCTACTATTACTACTGTTTTGTCTTAAAAAGTATCCACGGCTACAGTCAGTGCTACTGTACTAAAAGAGCTTTCCTTGCCACATGAATGTTTTGGAGTATCTCATGGAACACAAAGTCTGGGAACATCAATACTGTACCTAGTCAAGTATTTAAACATATTTTTGAAGATAACAAAAACAAAACTTAAATGGGAAACTCATTTACTTACACAATGAGAGGGGAAAATATACCAAGCCACTAATGACGACAGAATTTTAAGTTTATCCAAAATCTGATAACTGTGCAATGAGTGGTAAGTGAAATGCGGGAAATAAATTAATTTGAAAATGGACACAAAGTATATAATATTTTGGCTCCATATCCCGCAACAAAAAAATCTGGATAGACTGTGCCTGTTAGAGGCTGCAGCAATACAATGACTGTAAGAACTTCAGACCTGACTTTTGTTATTAAATAGAACAGTAATTCATTGTTATTCAACACAATAGTCAATAACAGGGAAACTAAAGATACAGCTCTCTTCTCAGTTTTACAAAATGTATCTGAAAGTGATTTGATAATTTAAACTCTCAATCTATAGAACATACTAAAGATTTACTTCAGCTACTGCACACTTCAGTACTTAAGGCAGTCGCATACATCAGTGCACACAAAGTTCATTTCTCTCCACCACTCACTCACCAGACCATCAAGTTTTCAAGACAGCAAACATAATCATTATTTTCTTTCATGCTTTCCCTTCTGCACGTATCATGAACAAGAGCTTGCTAAAATCAAAAGCATATACTCATGTGCCAGTACAGAACAAAACTTCAGGTGTGCAGAATCCAGAAATCTTGGATTTCCTGACGACTTTATACACAAAACCAATTTGTGATCATTAATTATAATTTTGTAAATAATATGCAAGTCAAATAGCCCAGTCACTTCTGAACATTCTCATGTTTTCAGCATTGTAACAGACTGCTACTTTTAAACTGCAGCACAGGAAGCAACAGAAATCACTTCCAAATTACTGTCTTTCACCCTTAAAGTTAAAAAGCTTTTGTTTCATAATGGTACATGCAGAGGTGTGTTATGGAAACAGCCTATTCCAAAACAATTGCTTAAAGTTCCCAGCACAATGCAAGTAATTTCAACTCCAAACTTTCAGGCAAAGGATGACTTATTCCTATCAGTACCGGATGAAAATTAGTCATTTATATCTGAAAATGACATACTAGAGCAAGTGATGTTTTAAAAAAATCTTCCTTTATCTTTACAGTCAATTTAATCTCAAAACACAAGTTTGTTTACAATTTTTAAAGACTGCACATTTCTCTGAAAAGCGTGAGAACAAGTACTGTTTTTAAAAAATTATGTACTTTTTATTTTAGCAAAAGTCTGAATAGAAGGCCATAGGACAGATTATCAGTGCTTCTATAGACAGATGGTACTTGCTAATAAGTATTAATGACTGGCTGCAGAAAACAGAGTTGAAATGTTCTCCAAAATCATCACATATTATTTTTAATAAACAGAAAGCGACCAACACAGAAACATGTGTCATTTGTAAAATCTGACATTTTAAAGCATCATTCATCTAAGTTAGTTCATTCTATGCATCATAAAGAGGGTATTACGTTAGCAGCACAGCTTAAACCAAACACAGTCACAACACTATGAAGCACAGTTTGCTTCCTGTTGCTGTTGTCTGCAATACTAACTGGTTTTAGTCACTTGTTTATGAGAAGCCAAGATGAAGTGATAGATGTTTCCCATAAATTCAACACAAACTGACTATTAACTTAAACTTATTTCATCTTACCAGAAGTTCAACATTCTGGTAATACAGAACCTGCACAGATTAACTCTGTACACTGCCTTGCTCCTTCCCAGAACGTCCTGTCTCAAACTACAGATAACAAAACTTCCAGTCCAAGAGACCTCAGAGCTTCGACGTTCCTGCCACTGCTGTGTGCAGATGCCTCACTGCTATCCAGGCACAGACAAGAGACTGGCTGTTAACAGCAGCATACAACTCAGGGTATCAACCAGATCATCTTTAACAGTTAGCCAGGCTAAAAATTTTATTGCTGTTACTTACTTTGTCTTGCAAGGAATTAATCATGGTGCTCTAGAAGAGAAGGTGGCAAAAATCTATAGCTACTATCTACTCCTATCAGTACTTAACTGAAATCATATATGGCATAACATCTTTTTGACTTTTGTTAATTTCCATTTTTTTTTCTTAAATATGGCTGGAGTATTAACAATGAAGGGAACTAAGAAAAAAGGCTGCTCTTAACTTTAGAACTTACATTTAGAACTTACAGTAATTTTATAGACAGTTACTATATGTGAATAAAAAACATTCTAGAATTCAAACATTATCCTTTTGCCTGCGAGTTTTATAGCTTGAATGCAAGTTCTTATTCGGAGTAGCCTATCTGCTAAAAAACTTGTACATGTATTTCTCAATGAAGGAGCAATGATCAAATGTGCAAAAAGTTCTCTTAGTAACTAACTTTGAATACTACTACTTAAAAGTAGTTTTGAGCTTTTTAATAAAGGATCCGATTTCACCTTGTTTGATTTGATGTTCAATACTAAGAATCAATGTAATAAAGAAAAATTGTACTCAGCAGCCTCATTCACATAAAAATACACAAGCAATAACATCACAATATTAAAAAATAGAATTTATGAGACCCAAGACTACTTTGTGGACACTACCAAAATACAAATTAAGAGTATAATTTACAAAAATAGTAAAATGTGATGCATTTCACGGTACTTTTTAAGCTTTATGTAAAAACTGAACTTGGTAAAATCAAAAATATCACCTTTAAGGAACGCCCACTAAAACCTAAAGCTACTGGGATAACACAGATCTGCAATGTAACATGTCGATAGAGAAGTCACTACAGGGATGTCACTACGAGACTGGGCTCTTCCCTCAGCTCTGACATCACCTACAGCAACAGAGCGAAAGGCAACGCACCAGGCTCCCCTGGAGTCAGGCCTGAGGAGCCAACGCGTCCGGCCTCGGCAAGGAGTTACGTGTTTCGTTGCTATGTCAAACACTCACTGCGGCGCCTAAAAGCTACACCTGTTGAACACGATTAGTAATAAAACGTGCAACAGAAAACAGCGAACCTACAGAAGCAACAGCAGGCAGAATTCCTGCACAGCGCTGCCTGTTACACGCAAACCCGCTCCGCAGGAGGGCCGCTCGCGTGAAGCGGTTTGACAACGCCGCGGCCTTCCCAGCGCTCGCTCCGCTGCGAGCAGAGCTCTCTCTGCGGGATTAACGCGGCGGTAGCGAGGGCCGATCCGGCGCCACCCGAGTTCCCCGAGCTGGCGGCTGAGCCCCGGGGGGGCAAGGACCGAGACGACCGAACGAACTTGGAATGAAGGGCCCAGGCGCCGCGCCTCAGCGGCGGGGCCGCGCCCCGCGCCGCCGCCATGGTCGGCCGGG